TCTGTGAGTTCAAGGCCAGCCTGGTCTACACAGTGAGTTCCAGGACAGCTGGGGCTACAGGGAGACCCTGTCTCAAAAAGACCGAAAAAAAAAAGTAACCTGAGCCAGACAAGGAAGCACGTCCCTGTAAATCCCAGCACTTGGGAGGCAGGTTCAGGGTGATTCTCAATTACACAGTGATTTCAAGGCCAAACTAGGCTACATGACACCCTGTCAAAAAAGGGGGTCAGAAAGACAGGGAGATACAGACAGCTAGAGAAGGCGGGAGTGCTTCTGGATGTATCTGCACACAGTTCTAACATGATATACAAACATATCTCACTGACAGACTAAACAGGCTTACACACCTGGTTCACCCACCATTACAGACATCCCTATAACCACGTGCAGTGAAAGAGTCACAACGGCCTGCACTGTCACCACTGGAAGTCAGCACCCGTTCTCTCACATACACAGAACTCTAAGGGAGCACAGTACTTAACTGTTGCCAGTACTCATTAGGTGAGAATAAACAGGGAAAAATAAGCCACTTGCAGGTGTGACCTTGTGGTAACTGAAAAGGAAAGACAGAAGAGATACTGCACAGTTTACTGAGAGGATGCAAAAGCCATTTAGATGATATCCAAAGGTACCAGGTGTGTCCCAGCCCAAAGCTGGTGACTAAGGTGCAGTGCAGGAGCAATCAGAGCGAGCCTCCAGGATGGTTTGCTTTATTGGGGTTTATTCTGTTATGGGTATTGTTTCTAGATGTTTCTTTGGCAGGGAGGGGGTTAGTTGGCATGAGGAAGTAAAAGGTACGTATAATGCTGTTTACTCACTGAGTCTCCTCCAGGCACTGCCATGTTTAACACTGGGAAGAGCTCAGTCTCAAATGCTTCTTTCAAGGCCTAATACTGTGTACAAAACCGTCCGGTAGAAAGCAGAGGGAAGGACACAGCTCAAGCCCGCATGCCTCCTTCCAAAGGTTTCAGGAAGGGATCTGTTTCATGACTTGAAAGGCTTAGCTAAATCTAAAGGGGAAGAAAAGAGTGGTTTTGCTTTTCTAGAAGAGCAAGGACTCATGCAAAAAGCACACACAACCACTTCAGCATGAGCAGAGCTGGGCATGCATGCACACCTTTAGTCCCAGCACCCAGGAGGCAGAGGCAAGCAGAGTTCCCCAAGACTGAGGGGAGCCTCATCTGCACAGTGAGTTCCAGGCCAGCTGGGGATACAGGGAGACCTTGTCTCACAAACAAAGCAAAGCAAAGAGTGAGCACAGAAGAAACTTCTGGTCCTTCCATCCAGGCCAGCGGATCACTTAAAAGTAAAGAGCATTCCTCTGAAAAAAAGGCCCAGGAAATTAATGTGACTAGCACTAGGGTACAGAGTAATGAGGTTAAAAAAATGCTCAAGAAACATTACCAATCTTTACTCATGACATCCTGCAAGCAAAAGTGGTCTCCACACAATGGTGCTCAAAGCAGAAAGATGCCAGGCAACCTCAGAAACACTGTTTCTGAACACACAGGGGGACCTTTACTTTGAACATAAGTATTAAATATCAGAATGCTAGACACTGTGAGTGTGTGTACAGACATGACAAGTACTATAGGGTGAAACTATCTCTATGAATTCACACACTCTCCAGTGTAGACCATCTCTATGAATATACTCTCCAGTGTAGACCGTCTCTATGAACACTCTTCAGTGTAGACCATCTCCATGAATACACTCTCCAGTGTAGACCATCTCTAGGAAAACTCTCCAGTGTAGACTGTCTCTATGAGTACTCGCCAGTGTAGACCGTCTCTATGAACACTCTCCAGTGTAGACCATCTCCATGAATACACTCTCCAGTGTAGACCATCTCCATGAATACTCTCCAGTGTAGACCGTCTCTGTGAGTACTCTCCAGTGACATAATGGTAACAATCACAGGACTACCAAAAACTACATCTGTGGATGGCAAAAATGAAAGGATGTGACAGTGTCTGAACAGCCTGTGTCCTGTACCTGGAAGACGACGCTCTACAGTCAGGAGAGCAATGGCCCATGCTCCTTCATCACATGGACAGGCAGCAGAACTAGCCTCACCCACACACCTAAGACTGCGGACAGTACTAGATGAAGCAGAGGAACAGCAAGAGAGGGTCCCAGACTTCCTGTAAATGAAGGCTCCAAATGACTGGCACAGTTGTTAGCAGTGCCCAAAGAAATGCACTACAACCAAACCAAAGAGATAGACAGAAGCTGGACAAATGCAGCAAAACACATTTCCAAGGTCCACGTGGGAAGCTCAGAAGCCTGAAGGGCAGCATTTTACTCCAGACATCCACATCCAGCTATTACCATCGCTATCCCCTTGCTGGGACTTAGAGCCCATGCCGTCTACCTATTCTCATTGAAGTAAGAACGCCTTGTCTACAGGACAACAGAGTGTGAACAGTCTGCTCACTGAAAGACAGAAAGGCAGTATACAGATAATAAAAGCTCCTTAGGTAGGGAAGGGAGTTAAGGGAAAAGGTTGGGGGGTGGTGTCCTAATTAACAGATGAAAAGAAAACCATACTTCAGAGTAACTTTTAAGACCATCAACATCACGGTGTAGGTCTCAGTCATATCAAAAAAAAAAAATCTGAGGCTAGTCATCAAAAAAGATACAAATATCAGTACTATTAGAAACCATAACGAATGAAAAGTCAAAAAAAAAGAGTAAGAGGTCACATAATAAAACAGTGCTCGCACCAGAATATTCGGGCACGTGGCCACAGAACCACTGACCAGCACTAGACCCGACTGTTAACACCTCCTGGCAGCAAAAACGAAGCAGCAGCTCACGCTCTGCTTAATGCAGGAGAGCAACAACCACCCTAATCAAGAAGATACTGTTCAAACTTCTCAACAGAAAGATGTGCCTGATGTTATGTTCCACATGGTACCAAGTGTATAATGCTGCTATTTAAATGTTTAATAAGCATTCCAAACAATCAGGGCTCTAAATGACCTAAAAGTTAAGTCTAGACAATCACATTATAAGGTTGACTCTACTTTTTTCTGCGCGCGCGCGCGCGCACACACACACACACACACACACACACACACACACACAGAGTCTGGAGGAAAGCTGTTAAATGCCTCTCCCAATACACCCTCAGCCTTTTCACCACCCCCACTCTTGCAGGGAGAAGGGAAAAGCTCTGCAGTAGAGTACACTATTGAAGTACAGTTTTGTAAGATTACAATCCAAAAAATTAAAATTCAGAAAAAAATCTTAGAAGACTTTGTTATTACAGACAAGTACCAGGCACACTGAAATGTCCCAGACTAAAAGACTAGCGAGACCCACAATATGGTCTCAAGCAAAGTCACATTACCCTCACCCCCAGATCCTCGCAGGCAGAAGATCCCCAGGAAAAGCCTAGTGAAGGGCTGCAGCAGTCGGAGTTCAGACTCCACAGAGAAGGTGCCACCAGGTTCATACTCAACGCAGAAGGGCCAATGGGCAGAACTGTGGGGGAAGAGCCTGGGAAGAGCCTCTTCTGCTGCTTCCACAACCAAGTGCAACTGCACAGAGTGCTCTCCAAACTCTAGGAAATGGGACAGAATGTCCCAGAGCAATGATGAAAAACCATGAGGAGCAGGAGACTGCATTGTAGATGGGTTCCCTTAATCACAAAGAATTCAAATCCCACCAGGACACAAGAAACCCAGTCTGACCACAGAGCTAAACAACTTCCAGACTCTAGAATGAATCATTTTAAGGGGGGAAAAAAAACCCTTAAGACCACCACAGTCTGAAAATCAGAGAAACAGAAAATGTAGCTGAGCTGGGCATGGCTGCCTAAGTCCAGGATTTCAGAATTTGGGAGGCTTAGAAGGACTGATGCAAGTTCAAGGCCAGCCTGTTCTACACAGCTAATTCCAGGCCAGCCTGAGCTACACAATGTGACCCTATCTCAGAAAAAGTGGTAATAATAATTTTTTCTAATTATAAAGAAGGGAAAGGTGGCTGAGCACAATGCAAATGAGAGTGATGCTACCCTTTGGAAAAGGAAAGCTGACCCAATGTGACCTTGAGGAGACGCTGCTGTGCACCTGTCAACATGCGGCATGGCATCCACTACAGGTTGAGCTGGAAAAGCCCAGGCTTTCCCAGAAGCAGGTAAGTCAAGTCTTCAAGAAGACAAGGGAAGAAGTAGTAATCCCACCTTTCCCAAAACCCTGGGGAATGAGGGGGTCACGCTCTGACAGAGAGATGTAAAAAAGCAAAGTGATTAGGTGACCCAGGTCAGCCTAGCTAACTGTGGGAACACGAGGAGGAGGCACAGCTGACTTCCAACCATCCAGGGCAGCGACAGTAAGCACAGCCTTGAGACCAAGAGGAGCCTAACTTCAGCCAAGAAGTGCTCCTCCGTGAACTTCCTACCTCTTCCCCTGCAGCCCAGTCCCAAGCATCCTGTAGAACAGGGAAGACCCCCAAAGGCAGTCAGTGGCCTGGAGACATGCATGAAGAGCCACCACCAGAAAAGAAGGACGACTCTGGGTCTACATTAACATATACCACAGACATTCAACTCTTGATTTTTTTCAAGGTTCACTCACACCCATAAAATACCCAACCCCCCCATACTGACTACAGACACAGAATTTTAAAAATTGCTTAAAAATGAAAAAGACGCATATACACATATACATGCAAGCACCCAGAAAAGGAAATTCAGAGCAAAAGCTCTGCTTTCTGGCCATGGGTGCTGTGCTGAAAAGCCCAGCCCACTCAAGAAATCAAGGTGAAGGGCTCCCTTGCTAGAAAAGCGCTTAGAGAGAGGAAAGTCTCCCCCACAGAGCCTGTCAAAAAGTAAGACTTCACCACTGAGTGACAGCCATGAGGGAAGGAGCAGCAGAGATGGTGGCGAGCCACTGACCAGAGCCAGAGCTGCTGAGATAACACTCAGCGGCCTCCGAGGACCTGGAAAACTTGCCACCCTCACGTGAGGGCCCCGCACTTTCCCAGAGGCACCTTTTTCTAATTTCACAACCTCCCTGACTCCACTGGCCAAAACGCAGCAGGGACACACTTGTGGCCATTCGTTTCCAGTCTGTCAGAGAAAGAGTGTCTTCTCTGTTTCCTATCATCTGCCCAAAACAGAGAAAATCACCTTCTCCTACGCTGCAGTAAAGAAATCAAGGTAAGAACTTCTACTCCATGCAGAGTCAAGTTGAGAAGACCGTCCCTAAATCCAGAATGCCTGTCCAAGTGCTCCTTGGCAGCAACCCTCACACACACTGGGGACGTGGTGAACGGTGTGTCAGCACAGCACAGTACAAACGAAGGAGTGCTGAGAAATGGTGTTTCCCGATGATACTCCTGACTCGTCTAAGCCTGAAGTCACCCAGAGCACCACACACAAGTATATGTATGGGTGCCTACAACCCTTCATGTTAACAGTCCCCACACTCCCCAAGTGTAGCACTAGTCATCCAACCCTTCTAACTTTCTCTGCCCGTGAAGAGGATATTCTTGCACTAAGGGGTGTGTGCGATGTGTGCATGTGTGAACAAATGCACACATCGATGATGTCTGTGGTGCTAAGAGAGAACCAGAACAACAAAAAATAGAAAGCAATCAAATCTCCGCTTTGCCTGAAAGGTACAAGAGCCAAAGAAATGCTTGGATCACAACAGAACACCACCAGGGCTGAAGGAAGGTTCTGGTAGGAGCACAAGAGCTACCTCTTCTCCAACCGCACATGGGCAACAAGGGTGTCTACACTCCCTGTTATGGACAGAAAGGCAGATGGCTCCTCCTTACCCAGCCAGCATGAATACAATTCGAGAAAATTAGAAAAAGTCAAGGTAACAGGCTCACTAGATATGGCTGACTGGGAAACATAAGCCAGAAGGGATAAGAGTTCTCCCGCAAAAAAAGAAAGAAAGAAAGAGAGAGAGAGAGAGAGAGAGAGAGAGAGAGAGAGAAGAAAGAAAGAAAGAAAGAAAGAAAGAAAGAAAGAAAGAAAGAAAATAGGAAGTTTATTTCCAAGAAAGGTTCAAAGAGAACCTTGGGAGTGGGGCTCAGAGAGGCTTTGCTCAGGAGACACCGGAAATCAAGGGCACATGACCTTTTCCCTGTGGGGTAGTGTCAACTGGTGAAGGGTGCCCTCCTAAGATGAAGGATTCAGGTGGAAGCAAAATTACATCCTTGTTTCCCTGCAAGCCAGTAGTGTGGCCCCTTTTCCTTCCAGTAGTAGGTACCACGGAAGGCCTGGCCTACATCTGACTGGGGTGCCCACCCTGGCCCAAACAGGAACTCCAAGGAGAGGGGGGGGGAAGCAGAGAGGGGAAAGAGAGGAAGGGAGAGGGAGAGAAAGGGAGAGAGGGAGAGAGAGGGAGAGAGAGAGAGAGAGGAAGAAAAGGAGAGAGGAAGAGGAAGAGAGGAAGGGAGAGAAAGAGGGAGAGGAAGAGAGAAGTGAGGAAGAGAGGGGGAGAGGGAGAGAGGAAGGGAGAGAGAGGAAGAGAGGAAGAGAGAGAGGAAAAAAGAAAGGGAGACGGGAGAAAGAGGGAGAGAGGAAGAGAGGGAGAGAGAGGGAGAGGAAGAGAGGGAAAGGGAGAGAGAGGGAGACAGAGGAAGAGAGAGGAGAGGGGGAGAGAGAGAGGAAGAGAGGGAGAGTCTAAGGGTAGACAAACAGCTGGGGAACCGAGCCCCCCGCCCCCCCCCGAAAAAGAGAGCAACTCAGAGGGTACAGAGGAAATGAGCTCACACCAGCCCAGGACGATGTACCGAGAGTGTGCAGATCTGGAAGTGTCTCCCTTCCTACCGAGATGACTTCAGAGCCGCACAGGCCCCCACGCGCCGCTGGGCGAGAAAAGAAGGAAGAGGACAGGAAGCCCGGGTCCCCTCGTCCTGGCAAAAAAGGGGCGCCTAGAGCGCAGAGCCCCCCGCCCCCGGGATGCCCAGAAGGGGCCGGGCTCAAACAGACCCCAGTGTCAGGCGAGGTCACGGAAGGTAAAGGGCACGGCAGTGTGGACTGCCTCACTCCCCACAGGCACCAGACCCCACCCTCCCGGCGGGGGGGGGCGGTGCAAGGGCAAGGTGGCGAGTGCCGGGTGCGAGGGGCGGGGATGCTGCGCAGGCCCCCCGCCCTGCCCCGGTGCGAAGGGGGAGGGGTCACCGGGCCGCGGCGAGGGGCGCCCGGCAGGACGGGGTCCCCCTGGCGGGGATGCAGGCGGGGACCCCTCGCCGGC